TTCTTTCTTTTTCTCTTTCCGTTTCTTTTTTTTTTTTTTTTTTTTAAGGTTTTTGCCATAGGGTGCATGCATTCACCAGAGAGATAGAGAGGGAAAGTAAGAAATCACCCACCAGGGGGGATAGTCACACCATAATCTCTGTTCCTTCATTCTTCTCCTGGGATTCTGGGCATGCACGCACATACACACACACACACACAAACACACACACCTGGTGTGATATTCAAGCTGCTGGGTTCAGGACTTGAACCTCAATCAGCCATGTGGAAATCCAGCACTGTAACCATTCTGCCACCTGCTGGCATCCCCTTTATAATTCTTTTTTTTTTTTGGAGAGATTTTCATTGTAGGGTGCGTGCGCTCGCCAGACAGACAGAGAGAGACATAGAGACAGAAAGCGAGAAATCACCCCCCAGGGAGGATGGTCACGCCGCAATCCCTTCTCCTCCATTCTCCTCTCGGGATCTTGGGCACGCACGCACACGCGCCCGGCGTGAGTTTTAAGCCACCGGGTCCGGGACACGAACCGCGGTCGACTACGTGGGAGTCCAGCGACATAGCCATTACACTAACTGCTGGTTCCCCCCTTTATAATTCTTTACACTGAATTCTAGGAAAGGTTCTTGGAGCTAGATTTAAAGATACTTGAGCCCTCATTGAAAATGAGTGGTAATGTTAATTGTGGCTCATTCCTCAATGAATTTTAGAACACTGTTATTCGGGTCTCTCAGTCTAGATGAAAACTATCCTTTTTTTTTTTTTTCTGTCCTACTAATCCATTTGCTTCTAGATAGCAGGACTTAATAATTTACTCATAACTCAACTAATTCAAAAAAATTAAAACACATAAAATAAGTACAAACAAAACAAGGAGCCAACCAGTGGGATGGTGGTTAAGATGGCTGGATCCCAAATGATGGACTGTGTGGTTCAAGTCCTGGACCGACCCTGCAGCTTGAAGAAGACATCTAGAGCATGTGCATGTATACCTAAAAATCTCAAGAGGAGGGCGAAATGGAGGAGAAAGGACTATGATGTGACCATTCTCCATGGGGCAGTGCTTTCTCACTCTCTTTTTTTCTTTCAGTCTTTCTCTGGTAAGCACACATACTCTCTGGCAAAAATGTAAAAATCAAATCAAAAGCAAAATGAAAACATGACAAATGACTATATAAACCAGAAAAGAAAGACAGGATGAGTTGAGGACAGAACTTGTGTTTAATGAATTCTATAAACCAAATATATAGCACATAGTTCTTAGTTTAGTAAGTTGCTTATAAATTATGTTAAACATGCATTTGTTGAAGGACAAAAGAAAAGAAAATAAAAAGGCTGTCATCCTCAGCATGTCTACCAAACTTTTCTTAGTTTAGTAAGTTGCTTATAAATTATGTTAAACATGCATTTGTTGAAGGACAAAAGAAAAGAAAAAATAAAAAGGCTGTCATCTCCCAGCATGTCCACCAAACTTTGGCTTTCTTTTTATAAGCACACTGATCTATAAGAGCATTTGGGAAATATGGGGCATCTAAAATTTCCCAAAATAATTTTAACATGACAGTAGCTTGAGAAATTGAAGAGAAAAAAAAATGGTAACATAAAGGCAACATATTAATAACCAGGAAGGAACTATACCAATGGGTATAGGAGAAATTAAAATAGTTGTATTGAATACTTTCTATAACTGCACTGCTTTGAAGCACAGGTGTAATGATCTTTTGGAAAACAGTAGAGGGAAACAGTCTTAACAAGAAAAAAAAATTAGAAAACTTTAGGAAAGTAGTCAAAGAATTCTTTTAGAAAAGCACCACTTCAAAGTTGTGTCAAGGGTGAATTTCTTCCATTTCAAAGAACGATTTAAATAGTTTCTGAGCATAGATAAAGATGGAACAGTTCCCAATTCTTTTTCTATAAAAACACCTTTGATTCTGCAGTCTAACCAAGAATATAAAAACGAATATAGATTTTTCTAGAAACCTAAAATAAAATACCAGTTTAACTATTTCATTGCCTATTTTCAACTCAGGAACATACAAATTTAAAAACTTTGTATTTCTCTAATTTTACTCTAATCCCTTTGGTTATTAAAATTCTGTCCAATTTTTGGGGCCAGCAGATGGCATAGTGGTTGCATTGCTGAACTCCCACATGCGCGACCATAGTTTGAGTCCTGGACCTGGTGGATTAAAACCTATACCAGGCGCACGCGTGCACACACATGTGTGTGTGTCTGTGTGTGTGTGTGTGTGTGTGTGTGTGTGTCCAAGATCCCAGGAAGAGAATAGAAGAGATTATAGCAAGGCCATCTTCCCTGGGGGGTGAGTTCTTTCTTTTTTTTTCCCCTGGGGGTGATTTCTCACTTTCCCTCTCACCGTCTGTCTCTCTCTCTCTGGCAAGTGCATATACCCTAAGGCAAAAAAACCCTCCACACACACACACAAAATTCTATCCAATTTAGTATTTTGACCACATACTCCAACAGGGCTTTTCCTTCCCCATAAAGCTAACTTAGTGACCCTGGAGTTGCTAGACTGGAGAAGGGGTATGGCCAGCAATTTGATTCTTCCTGTCTCCTTCTCTGTGAATAGGAGGCAGATAAAATCTTTCTCTAGCACAACTCTCATTCTTTCCTCTTTAATCTCTTTCTTTGGTGTGGGAACAACATAAGCTAAAACCAGCTCCTACCAACGCCTTACAGCTGATTGATTCATTTTCAGGAATTTTGTGAGATAGCCACAAAACACAGTTATCGTTCAAAATTAAATTATGTAAAATAAAAATTTAGTGACATACTAAAAAAAAAGATAAGACTAAAAATACAGTTCTTCCCTTGACTACATTTTACTACTATGTATGGTCTGAAAGACATTTATATCTGCCGTTTTAAAGGTTTATTTATTATTGCCACAGAGGAAGGGAAGGAGAGAGGGAGGCACTCTTCTCGGGTTCTTCATGCCACAATCCTCCCTCCAGTCCCATAGTCAGGAGGATCACAGGTACACCTGCAGGCATGCCATGTGTGTCTAAGTAGACCCAGAATGCTAATCCAAAGCTTCCTATATGGCTTCAAGTATTATGCAGTAGCATCCCTACTTCCACCATGGCTGGACCAGAAGTTACTGTTATCTGTTGTATCCCTATAGTGGAAATATTGATATCATATTATATCATGTTAGTACATATCTCTTTCCAATTCTGCATTCAGTGATGTCACAGTGGTCATTTGTAATTGGCCAGGGAGTGTTTATTCGGAGTAGTGAAATCAAAGATGAGTGAAAAATTTTGATCCAAGTTGAATGGTCCCTGGTTGAATGGAGATGGGAATGCCAGGGTGAGGAACAGATTGGAAAGGGAGTGGAATCAAGAATTTGTTTTTTGAGGCTAGAAGGTGGCATGGTGGGTAAGGCACTGGACTTCCACAACGCTGACCATGGTTCAAGTCTCAGACCTGGAGGCTTGAAAATCATGCCTGGAATATGTGTGTGTGTGTTTGTGTGTGTGTGTGTGCCCAAAATCCAAGGAGTAGAATGGAAGAGGGAAGGGATTGTGGCATGGCCATTCCCCCTGGGAGTGATTGCTCACTTTCCTTCTCACTGTCTCTCTCTGTGTCTCTGGTAAGCTCATGTGCTCTATGGTAAAAATCTTAAAATTTTCTGATATTTTAATTTAAATGAATTGTTACTTCTTTCAGATATATCTCTTTGAAAAGTGAGATTGAACCTAGAACGATTGATTCTGAAAAGTCAAATTTAAGACCACGCTTCGTTCCAACAAATATAAAAAGTAGGTCAATAGCTAATGCTTTGTGTAACATATTCAATTCTCCTTTGATGTATTAATGGTGCTTTTATTATTTTCTAAAGTGTGTCTTAGATGTTCTTGATAATTTGGTGTCTATTGAAAACATATGAATGAACTATAAAGAAGAATTTACTAGAAAGAAGAAATATTAAATATCAGAATGAATAATTTATACAATTTATAAAATAATGTTTTATGTTTATACTGTTACTTATTTTTTTCTTCTAGAAATAATAGTTCTGAGTTTCATGTCAGTTCAACTTTAAGAGTTTCCTAGTTACTGTTTTGTTTTGTTTCTCTTTAAATATTTATCATAATTCATGATTTACATATAATCATTACACGCCTTTATAGGATATCAAATGGTCTTTAGACCATTGATATCTAATAAATAAATGGTGTGTAATAAACAAATCAAGGATATAAACATATTCTCCACCTTCAACATTTAACATTATTACTGTGCTTATCACATATTTTTAATAGCATTTTGCATGATAAAGTTTTTCATCATTTTATTATCACCTTTCTGTAACATTATGACTTATATTTATCTTCTTTTTTCAATTGCCAGAGGGCATATGCACTCAATAGAGAGAGAGAGGTAGAGAGAGAGGAAAAGAGAGAGAGAAAGTACCCCCTAACATAGAGGGGCTTAGTCAGTGTACAATCTATTTCCCCCATTTCTTCTTCCTTTCAGGATTTTGGGCATGCATGCACATGTGGCTGGTGTGTTCTTCAAACTGCTGGGACTGGAAATTGAACCATGGTTGGTCATGTGGAATCCAGTTCCCAATGTGTAGCTCCTGACCACTGTGCTATGAGGCTAGTTCAGTTTATCTTTTTTTGAACATCATATTTTTAGACTTCTAAAATCTATCTGATCTTTGGTTTGGAATGGAATAGTTAGTCCATTTATACCTAGTGTTATTATTGATGTCTTCAGATTTATATCTACCATCTTAATCTATTCTTTTTATTGTCCTATTTAGTCTATGCTATTTTTTTAACCCAGTGGAAATTCACTGTTAAAGCAAATTATTTTGTAATAGATATAGTTTTTAAAAATTTAAGAGCAGGGTCTGCCTAGGTGACTTGAGACACACACTAGCTGTGTGTATGTGAACCCCAAATCCCAACAGGATGAAGAAATGGAGGAGAAGGGATTGTAGCATGACCATGTCCTATTGGGGGATACTTTTCCCCTCTCCCCTTCTCTTTGTCTCTGTTTCTCTCTGGCAAGCACACAATCTCTGGCAAAAAAAATTTTTTTTAATGTAAAAACGATGCATATGTAAGAAAATAAAAGTATTAAACTATATGTCTCAAGAATTTATTTCTCAGGACCAGCAGTTAGTGTAATAGCTATGTCACTGAATTCCCATGTAGTCAACCACAGTTCGAGTCCTAGACCCAGTGACTCAAACTCACGCCAGGTGTGTGTGCGTGCATGCCTAAGATCCTGAGAGGAGAATAGAGGAGAAGGGATTGCGGCATGGCCATCCCCCCTGGGGGGTGATTTCTTGCTTTCTGTCTCTCTGTCCCTCTCTGTCTTTCTGGTGAGCACATGCACCCTGTAGCAAAAATCTCTCCAGAAAAATAAATTACTTCTTATAGAAAAAATAGTTTATTGAACTTAATTAGATGTAATTTATTAGTATGATACTGTCATTCATGTTTGATTTTGTTTCTTTAGAGCCAATAGAAGAAAACCTAAACTTAAGATCGATCAGATCTTTTCATTATCTTAAAGACACAGATAAGGTAGGTTTAATGCATGGATTTACAATTACTTAATATAAATTTAAGTTATATTAAGTTTTATTTAATTACTATGTATGTGTGTATATGTGTACATACATGTGCTTGTGCAGACGTGGTGTTATCTTAGAGTGTTGCTGTGTCGTGATCGTCCTGCTTCATCCTCCTGTGTAGCTGGGACTACAGATGCATACCACCATGCCCATTTTTTTAGGGTGGGCCAGGAATCAAGCCTGGGTCTCCCATCTGGCCTCCTCAGCCGGCTGAACAGCACACTACCATGGCTGAGCCCCTAATGATTTTATATCTGCTTCCATAAACCCCGAATTCAGTATTTTTAGGATTCAAAAATATATATATACATATATATGTATATATATATATATTTTTAAGCTGTGTTTGCTGGACAGAGAAAGTGGGAAATCACCCCCCAGGTGGCTGTTCCACAATCCCTTCTCCTCCATTCTCCTCCAGGCTTGCACATGCACCCAAGGTGAGTTTCAAGCCACCAGGTCTGACACTTAAACTGTGACTGGCCATGCAGCAGTCCTGCGCCTTAACCACTATACCACCTGCTGGTTTCTCAAAAGCAGGCAATTTTAAAGTGATTTTATCTCTCATATTATGTAAAACTTTAGTTATAGGGACAATAGGATAGATAATATATTGTCTGTTAAAGATATTTTAGTGCAGTAGAAATATTTCTTGAATGGGTGAAGGACACACAGTTATAAAGTCTGCTAAAACAGTGCATCATTAAAAAGTACACATGCTGGACTCCCACGTAATCGACAGCAGTTCGCATCCCAGACCCGGGTGGCTTAAAACTCATGCCGTGTGCGTGCGTGCCCAAGATCCTGAGAGGAGAATGGAGGAGAAGGGATTGTGGCGTGGCCATCCCCCCTGGGGGGGTGATTTCTCACTTTCTGTCTCTCTGTCTCTCTCTGTCTATCTGGCAAGCGCACGTGCCCTATAGCGAAAACCTCTCAAAAAAATTTTAAAAAGTACACATGCATAATTTAAACACTTTATTTTATTTTGTAATGAAAATGTATATTCAGTAGTTAAGGTTTTTAACTGCCAGAAGACATGTGCACTTGCCAAAGAGAGCATGGTCATGACGTAATCCCTTTCCTATGTTTCTCTGTCCCATCAGGATTTGGGGTGTGTACATACATGCACGGGGCATGTTTTTCAAGCCAGCAGGGCCAGGATTTGAAGTACAGCAAGCCAGTGGTTAGTGTTTAACCACTGTGCCACAGGGCCAGCCCCTACTTGATCATCTCTTATTGTATAACCAAGCATGCTATAGTTAATCAAATTAATAAAACCTATTTTATTCAGCAGGTTTTATCTAAAAGATAAGGAAATTAATTCAGAAAATCATCAGAAGAAAGTCACTTAAAAAGCCTCCTGGACATTAATACATTCCACTGCATGATTGCAGTGGATTGATAAGCATGTTTAAGACTGACATTTCCAAGATTGGCTACTATGTAAAATTAAAATTACACAAATTACTACAAAGAAAAAGCTATCACTTTAATTTCATGCAAATCTTTGATGCAGTAGTACATTCTAAAATGTTATTGAAAATTAGGGGATTTTTTTTTTTTTTGCTTTATATTATGTGGTATGTAAATATCTTAATTAAAACCTTGTAAACCAAAAAAAAAAAAAAAAATCCCCTGGGGCCAGCAGATGGCATAGTGGTTAAGTCACTGGACTTCCACATGGTCAACTGTGATTTGAATCCAGAACCCAATGACTTGAATTGTATGTGCCCAAGATCCCAAGTGGAGATAGGACTGTCATGGGCCATCCTCTCTGGGGGGTAATTTCTCACTCTCCCTCTCACTGTCTTTCTCTCCCTGGTGAGCACACACACCCTAAGGCAAAAACTTCTCAAAAAAAAATATATATATGGTTTACATTTAATAAAAATCTCCTACAAAATATATATCATAGTACTACCATCAGTTTATGCACCATGATAAATTTATAAGTATTTTACATAACACTTAATGTTTTAATTTAAAAGAAACAAATGGAGACATTATTTAAATCCCTGTGGTTAAAAAGTTAAATAGTATATGGCCCAGCCAGTGATGTGGTGGTTAAGGTGTCTGGATCCCACATGGCCAACCTTGTGGTTTGAGTCCTGGACCCAGAGGCTTGGGAAAAAATGCTGGGCCTGTGTGTGTGTATGCCCAAAATCCCGAGAGGAGACTGGAGGAGAAGGGATTGCAGTGTGGCCATCCCTCCACCCGGGAATGGGTGATTTCTCACGTTCCCTCTCTGTTTCTCTCTGTGTCTATGGTGAGTGCTCACATCATAGAGCAAAAACTCTCTCTAAACATAAAAAAAGGAAGTATTCTTTCTGTTTAGTTTTATTATGGTTCTTATCAATTGTGTGTTATCTTTTCAGGATTTCATGTTAAGACTGTATCATCTTATAGAAAAAACTGATCTGTTGGTGTTTAGTTTTTAACTTAACTGATATTATCTTGCATGAGGATTTTTGGTTTCATGAAAATTTGGAAGAATTTATTTATAAATTTCAGGTCTCCCTCGTTTATTTATTTATTTATTTTTAAGTTTTTGCCATAGAATATGTGTTCATGCCAGAGAGAGAGAGAGAGAGGAAAACAGAAACAGAGAGAAAGAAATCATCACCCAGGGGCCAGCAAGTGGCATGGTGGTTATAGGCACTGGACTCCCACATGACTGACCACGGTTCATGACCTGGTGGCTTACTTTCTCACTTCCTCTCTCTCTCCGATCAAACTGAAAAATAATAATGATAATAATAATAAATAAAGTTAAATAAAATAATTCTTTAAAAAAGAAAAAGAAATCATCACGCAGGGAGGATGGTCACACCTCAATCCCTTCTCCTCCATTCCTCCATTCTCCTCTCAGGATTTTAGGCAAGCACGCACATGCGCCTGGCATGATTTTCAAGTTGCCAGGCCCAGAACTCAAACTGTAGTTGACTGTATGGAAGTCCAGAGCCTTAACCACCACCCTAGTCACTCTTTTTTAAGATTCTTTTTTCTTCTGGATGAGAGATAGAGAGAGAGAGAAACAGACACAGAGACAAGGCTGGGGGATCCCCAAAAGGGTCTTCACACTGCAATCCACCCCTGACCTCAACCAGCCGAGGTCAGAGGCACACACATGTGTACCCAGCATCAACAGGGAAGTCTTGGGACATGATCCTGGACCCACCCCCATGGGTCCAGCAATATGGAACATTGAGTTACTGCTGCACTACTATCTGTGGGCCTAGTGACTCTTTAAACTACCTTCTATAGGTATTTATTTGAAACTTCTTTACATTTATTTTAAGAATTATGGGTATATTCACATTTTTCACTTTCTCTGAAGACAATTTTGTTAAGTTTTCTTTGTGATAAAGTTACTCTATTTGTCTTCTAGGATATCCATAGTCTATCTCTCTCACAACTGTCCTCTCACAACTGTCCTTCTAAACTTACCTTTTATAACCAATGAATAATAACCCCCCCCCCCAATTGTGCTGTTTTGGGACCAACCCAGTGGCTTAAAACTCACACCAGGCATGTGTGTGAGCATGCCAAGATCCCAAGAAGAGAATGGAGGAAAAGGGATTGCAGTGTGGCCATCCCCCTTTGGGGGGGGGGAACTTCTCGCTTTCAGTCTCTGTCTTTCTGGTGAGCACATGTACCCTATAGGCAAAAAAATAAAATAAAATAAATTCTCTAAAAAAAAAGGAAAAACAAATAAATAAAAGTAAATGTGCTGTTTCTCTTTCATTAACATTCTAGGCTTATGTCATTGGCCTATCCCAAAAATGCCTTAATTTACACATCTTAGCATTAAGTTCTCCCTCGTCTAGGAAATGTTTACTGCCTGTTCTAAGACTTGTTGATATCCTTTCTTCTAAATTCTTTCTCACTTATAGATTGTATTGCTAGGGTTGGTTCTTAGTGATACCACTTATTATATTATTTGCTATTGTTTCCTGTGTGCTAATTATATCTTCCAATAAAAATGTGAGACGTTTTAGTCTAGACTTATATCATATACCTTATTTTATTTCATATTATCCGAAGCTATATATACTTTGTACCTAGTAAGAAAATATTTGCAGTTTCTAAACAATTATTTGGTTTGTTGATGAAGAATCAGAAATTATAAAGTTTATTCTTAAATATGTATATCTTGAATATCTATATATCTGTGATTTATTTTATTTGTTTGTTTATATATTTTATTACCAGAGGGCATGTATGCTCACCAAGGACTGAGTGAAGGAGACAAAGTAGCTCTCAGTGGGGCATGGTCTCACCACAATCTTATTCCTCAGTGTCTCCATATATATATATATATATATATATATTTGAGGCCAGCAGGTAGAGTGATGTTAGAAGTGCTGGACTCACAAATGGCCCGGCATGGTTCTAGTCCTGGACCTGGTAGCTTGCTTTCTCACTTTCCCTCTCTCTCTCTCTCTTTCTTGAACTTGAGCAAACTGAAGAATAATGATAATGATAAATAAAATTAAATGAATAATTCTAATACACAGAGAGAGAGAGAGAGACTAAATTTGAGATTCTAATCTAGGAAAAGCTAGATTTTTTTTTTCAGTTTCTTCCCCTTTCCTTGGAATTATTGTGCTGAACCTACTTTATGTAAGAGAGTAAAATTTCTCTTAAAAAGAGTTGACTCAGATGCAGTGGCACACAATTATAAGACACTATGTTCATGGACTGAGACCAAATGGTAGGGCTTGGTTGATTCCTGGTCCAGCCTAAAGTCCAGATGTGATGGCATGCACCTGTAACCCCATTACCCTCGCAAATGTTTTAATCTCCTGTAGGTTTATGTTCTTATCCATAAAGTGCTAATGGTAATGCCCATCTCTCAGGGGTTTATTGAAGATTAAATAAAACATATTTTAATGTATTCAAAGAGCCAAACAGCTATTCATTATCATAATTAGGCATTCTAAACATGAATACAGTTGACCCTTGAACAACACAGGTTTGAATACACAGATCCACTTATATGCAGATTTTTTTCAATAAATACTGAAAATGTATTTTTCTCTTCTTTATGATTTTCTTTTCTCTAGCTTACTTTATTGATGAATATACACGTAATATAACACATAAAACACATAATGCACAAAAGATGTGTTAATTGACTGTTTATGTTATCAGCAAAGCTTCCGGTCAATAGTAGGCTGTTTTTTTTTTTTGGAGAGGATTTTTGCGATAGAGCATGTGCGCTCGCCAGACAGAGAGAGACAGAGAGACAGAAAGTGAGAAATCACCCCCTGGGGGGGATGGCCACACTGCAATCCCTTCTCCTCCATTCTCCTCTTGAGATCTTGGGCACGCACACACACGCGCCTGGCATGAGTTTTAAGCCACCAGGTCCGGGACGCGAACCGCAGTTGGCTACATGGGAGTCCAGCAACATAGCCATTATGCTAACTGCTGGTCCCAACAGTAGGCTATTAGTAATAGTCAAGTTTTGGAGGGGACAAGAGTTATAAGAGAATTTTTGACTGTACAAGATCCCCAACCCTCATATTGTTCAAAGATCAGCTGTAATCAACTATAAATTATTTATCAATATGCAAATGGAAATAAATAACTTCTAATTTAGTTTTTCATTCCTCTTCATATTTAGGTGGAAAACACAGGGCCCCTGTATTTTCTATTTTCACAGCATAGACAAGCATATAGAAGACCATTGGGCTTTACAATCTTTTCTCCTAAACTCAGCATTCAATCTAATGTTTATGAAAAAGAAAGAGAGTCTGTCTTACTTAAAGGTACATAACTTGCATGTTTATATTGAAATAACTGAAAGTTAAGTGCATTTAAATTTAGGATATAAGCATTAAGAAAATCTTTAACTAAGGATTAACAGTCTTGACCATTTTACCATAATTCTTTGCTTAATCACATTAGCAGATTCTATTACAAAAATGGTAAAGTCCAGATTCCTTTATATGGTGTGCATGATCTTTCTAGCCTTCTGTCTCTTTAAATTACCCCCACCATACTGATTCTAATCATATTTAATAGACCATTCCAAATCGTATGTGATTTAATCCATTCTGTTCTCTATACTTAAAATATATTTCTCCACCTAATAAATTCCTGCTCATTTTTAATAGTTAAGAGACTTTTTAGCTGCAATTAAAGAAAGAAAAATTTAAAAGTGTACACCTCAAAGAATAAGAGATTCATTAGTGAGGTACATCTAGAGATTGGTTAATTCAGAGGCTTAGCAATGTCAACTAATGTCCAGTTCCTTTATCTTTCCTTAACTGCCCTACCATGGAGCTGGTGATCCCAAATTTGCTTTACAACATGGTGACCACTATTCAAGAGACTTGTATGAACAACATCCACTAAAAAAAGAAAGGAGTTTCTTTTTTTTTTTCTTTTTTTGGAGAGGTTTTTGCTATAGGGCATGTGCGATCACTAGAAAGACAGAGAGAGACAGAGAGACAGAAAGCGAGAAATCACCCCCCAGGGGGGATGGCCACGCTGCAATCCCTTCTCCTCTCTTCTCCTCTTGGGATCTTGGGCATGCACGCACACGCACCCAGCGTGAGTTTAGGCCGCCGGGTCCAGGACTCAAACTGCTAACTGCTGGTCCCAAGAAGTTTCTTTGTTCTTTCATAAGAATGAGAAAAATGTTCCCCTTAGTTCTCTTTAGTTAGAAAAGCCTCATATCTAAACCAGTCGATTATTATTGGCTTACATCAATTTTTCTAACTTTGACACAACGTGCAATAAAAAATACTTTCTATATCACAATGATAGGTATTTATTTATGCATATATACATATACATATGTGTGTTTGTGTGTATGAAGCAGAGGATTTGGTTTCAAAGACTCTAATTATTACTCTTTCTCTCTGTTAGTTGAACTTGACTGCAGTATTTTTATACTAAGGATCAATATAACACACTGTATTATACTCTATCCTATTTCACTTTTTAAAATGTTAGTCATGATACATGAATGGGTTGTAACATTTATTTTGAAAACACAGGCTTAGATCATTCAAGATTTACTCCCTTGAGCTGGGAAAGACCTCAACTTTCCTTGAAAGAGCGATGCTTAGAAAAGAAGAAAAGATTGAGGTTCTGTTAGCGTAGAAGTGGAAAAAAGGGCTGTTAAGTAGGCAACCTTTTGTTTACGTTATCCTTTAAGGTTCCACTTGGATGTCACGTCTCTGAACTGTTCCCTGAGAGCAGTGACAGGATGTTCTGCTTTTATAGCTAAGCATATCTCCCTTTATAAATGTCTTGAGCTCTCTAGAGAAGCAGATTTATACTTTTTTTAAAAAAAAATCTAAATTCAAATTAAAACTTATGCTAAAGTTGGCAACATAAAGTTAAATCTATTTGGCCAAAATGAATAGCAAAAAGAAAAAAAAAATAGAGAAGCAAAAACTGTTCAATTGACAGTAGGCCATTTTATTCCAGATTTGAGGAATATCTGCTAGGTAGAACAATATGAAGCAGTTTTAAAGACTATCCATCAAGTTAGCATACAATTCCATTTCCTTGGAGACAGAAGAACACTGACAAGGCCAGAAGAAGATATTCTAATCATACCCTTATTAATCACCCTCTTCCTGCCGCTGCCACCACACACGCACATAAATTAAAGTGATTGACAGATTGCCGAAAAAAGGCAAGTCTTCCCCTTGGTATTTCTTTCTTCATTGCAAGTCAACAGCTTTCCAAGTCTGTTAGCATATTTTGAAAGAAAGGTAATGGCCATAATTTGTCATTTCTTTCTCCGCATTCCTGTGATTGCTTCAGATGTGCTCACTTCAGATGTGCTCAGCATTGGGGTGGAAAAAACTCCCCACTCTCAGGAGCAAGGTCTTGAAAGAGAGGTTGGCAACTGAAGAGATAAGACACAATTTCCTAGGAATAATTTATGGAAGCGTGAATAATAGCAATGGAGACAACTGGGCAAAGACAAGACATGACCCCATCAAAGTAGTCCAGGAGTCACAAGCCTTTCTTTGACCTAATTACTCCCCAAACTGACTTGCTTACCCCAAGTGAGAGAAAAACTAAAACCCAAGAGACACCTCACACATAAAAAGATAGAGACTCACCACAACTACTATTGGAGAGTCGTGAAAAGGCTTCACAAAATGGTCAGTACACAGAAATTTATTTCCCATGATTTTTTAGAGCTCCAGTTTTCCTTTTTTTTAAACTTGTTTGAATTATTTTATTGGTCATTATTTAATTTGACCAGAGAGGTATAGAGAAAGAGAGGAAAATTGAGACAGCAAGCCACCAGTTCTAGGACTCAGACTGTGGGTGGCCATGTGGAAGTCCAGTGCCTTAACAACCACAACACTTGCCGGTCCCAGGGCTCCAGCTTTCTTACCAGCTTAGGCAGGGTAATGCAGTGAACTCATAGTATAAGGTAACAACATCTGGATTTACATGTTAATCTCTAAGGAGAAAACTTAACAGTGTCCAGATAATCAAGAATGCCCAAAGAAAACTTGCTCTTAATGTTTTTGGACAAATAGCAAACCCAGATTTAAGTAGCCTAATTCAAATATGAGTAGAAGGAAAAACAAGAACAAATTATAGAACCTATGCAAATATTCTGTAGCCAAAAAAATAGAAATATTTTTAAAAGATAGTTGATCATCACATTTTGGCAGAATTTATATCCCATGAAACAGAAGAAAATTTAGGATATAACTGTTCTTTATGTTGAAGAAATTAAGGAGAATAAGAATTCTATATAATATTTTAAAATGTAAAAAAAAAAAAAATTTTACTACCAGAGCTAAAAAAATATTTTTTAAGGAAACAGGTAACAGCAATACAGGACTTAAAATTATATCAAAAGCAGCAAAGAGTAGAAGAAACATTTGAGTGAACGGAATCAAAGACCTAGAGAGCAGGCTTAGGAAAATAATACAGAAAATAGTGTAAAGGAATAAAACTACAATCAGATTAGACAAAATAGTATATTGAGGGAAGAAAACAGATGCAACATACTTCTCCACAGTGTAATTGAAGGGGATAATAGAATAAATGGAATGAGCTGACTGAAAAGGTGGTTTGCGTCCTGGACCCGGTGGCTTAAATCTCACGCCGGGCACGTGTGCATGCGTGCCCAAGATCCCGAGAGGAGAATGGAGGAGAAGGGATTGAGGCGTGACCATCCTCCCTGGGGGGTGATTTCTCGCTTTCTGTCTCCATGTCTCTCTCTGTCTGTCTGGCGAGCGCACGTGCCCTATAGTGAAAATCTCTCAAAAAAAAAAAAAAAAAAAAGAGTAAGAGAAAACTCTTGAAATAATGGAAAAATCTGTATCTTGGTTTTTACTTACGTGAGTGTACATACTTGTCACAACTCATCAAATTGTACGTTAAAAATGTATGTTTTATTGTACATGCATTAGACCTCAAGAAAGCAAAGTTAAAAAAAAAAAAAAACTACAGCAGTTTAAGACACTAAAAATATAACGTGAGAGACCTCTCCCCTCCCCCAAATAGATAAGAAACCATTTTAAATCTGAGGTGTGTTCTGGCATGTTCAGGGAAGCTATGCTCTAAACTCCGTCTTCCAGACCCCCAAAATACTCAGACAAGGTAAGGCCACCTCTGTCCTCTCTTTGTCTCTGTCTGTTTTGAACACTTGCTCTCTTTAAATTTTTTATTTTATTTTAAAATTATTTTTAAACCACTTCTCCTCACCTTGGGCCTTTTCTTTCTCTTGCTAATTTCAGAAATCATTTTAAATCTGAGATGTGTCCTGATGTGTTCATGCGCCACACGGTTTTCATCTTTTAACCTTAAAAAATTATTTTGTTGGGAACCAGCAGTTAGCGTAATGGCTATGTCGCTGGACTCCCACGTAGTCGACCGCGGTTCGTGTCCCGGACCCAGTGGCTTAAAACTCACGCTGGGCGCGTGTGCGTATGTGCCCAAGATCCCGAGAGGAGAATGGAGGAGAAGGGATTGCGGCGTGACCATCCCCCCTGGGGGGTGATTTCTCGCTTTCTGTCTCTATGTCTCTCTCTGCCTGTCTGGCGAGCGCACGCGCCCTACAGTGAAAATCTCTCAAAAAAAAAAAAAAAAAGAAAAAAAAATTATTTTGTTCTCTTTTTTGGTCGATTTTGTCTAGCTTTTTTTTTTCTTTTTCATTTTTAATTTTTTTTGTATAAGTTTTTGCTATAAGGCGAGTGCGCTCGCTAGAAAGACAGAGAGAGAGAGAGAGACAGAAGGCGAGAAATCACCCCCCGGGGGGATAGCTATGCCACAATCACTTCTCCTACTTTCTCTCTCGCGATCTTGGGCATGCACGCACACGCGCCTGGTGTGAATTTAAGCCACTGGGTCTGGAGCTCAAACCCGGTCGTCTACATGGGAGTTCAGTGACATAGCCATTACGCTAACTGCTGGTCCCTTTCTTTTTCTTTTGATTTTATTTTTTTAAACCTTACTTTCCCACTTTGGTCTTCACTCTCCCCACACTGAGTGCCTAGATAGGCCTAGGTACACAGTAGTTAAGCATCTGAATACTTTTAGAGTCATCGAAATCCTCAATGCTTATTGGACCTCCTGCTTTAAGGAAGAAATTTTTTATAAATCTAAAATCATAATCTTTCTGTGGATACCACATTGCAAAACACAGTAGAGGAGAATTTTGTTTTTGTTTTTGTTTTTCACAGAATGACCAGGAACTACCACAGAGGCACAAGATACATGAAAAACCAAAACGCTATTTCTCCCTTAAGGAAAAAGAACACTCCTTAATCCACAGACA